GGGACCACTCACCAGCCTGCACCGGGGATGACCCACAGTTTCTCTGGCCAGGATATCTCGCTTTTATTAGTCCTCTGTTGGCACGTAGAACGGAAACAACTTTTTAGAGTCCTCTGCCCCCTACTACGGGAGAACCGGACCACGACCTAATCCTGGTCCGAGGGACCAGGTCATTCAGTGTTCGCAAAGCGGCCCGGGACCTACAACAAGCTGCCGGGGCTTCCCCAGCAAACAGCTCCAAACTAAGGGCACAAACCCGCGACGGCCAGGGCACGGTGACTTCTCAGCCGGCCGTTTCCTACTACGTGGTTTGGCGAGGACATAAAACTTGGAGCAGCCTGAAGATGAGAAGACGCTCTTCTCTTTCTTGTACAAACCTTTTTCAGTACACGTGTTACGACATTAGGCGGCAGACACCCCTGCCCCAGATCCCCTGATGTCCAGCCACCATAAAATCTTCTAAGATTCTAGAGCCAGACCAATTTTCATCTTCTTTTAAGTTACCCTGGGGCTCCCAACAAAAGTTACATTTCTATGGAAAATGCAGCCCTGGCCCTGGCAACGTAACACAGTCAACTAAAGCACAACAGGGACAATACACCCTAGGGCAAATCACAGCAGCACCAAAGGACAGAAACCTGGGAGCCTCACACAGAAAACCTCATCAAGGTGCAGGCCCTTTGTTCAGGACAAAGAAAATAAACACCCACACCACGGAACACACAGGCCATGTCACTCTGCCACCAGACCCACCTCTTTAAAGGTCCGTGGGATCATACCTTCCTTCTGCTCCTAGGCTTCCCAGGGCTCTCCATCCTCCTGCGCCCGGCACCCAAGCTCCCGCACAGTCGCATCCTCAGTCCCCCCCCACCCCCCGGCTGCTGGTTGGTCATCCACTGCACGACCCTCGTCTCCCGCTGCTCGAGTCAAACATTCTCCCCCTGAACGAGTACTCGCTAGTCAACTGTGCGACCGAGATGCCAGCCCCACAGATCCTGTTTACGGCACAAAGGCCACTTGGCTGTCCTCCAGATGCATCAGGTTCCATGACGAATAAAGCAAGAGTTTTGGACTGTTTTTCCACTACAAGTGCCCATCACAAAGGCACAGGAAAATTCGTGTTTACATGAAGGAGAAATTAAAGGATGATTAGTTAGCATAATGTACAAGTGGTTTAAATAGCAAACTCCCTTACTGCTTTGTAAATGGGACTTAATTTGCAAAAATCAGGCTTATACACACACGTGTTCAGCCTATCTATCCAGTTCATCTGGCGGTGACGCTTCTCAGTAATAGGATTCACGGTGGGGTATGACAGGACGTGTTTAATAAGTCAGCATGCCCCCCCCCCAACTCATTTCGTGGGAACAAATACATATGCCAACGTGAAAAGAGAAAGTGGAAGAGGAAGACTGAAGAAGTGGGAGAAGCATTTTGTAATCTGTCCAGATCTTAGGACCGGTGCCTCGTTATTACCTCATTGTTGTTGTAAAGAACCTGAGCGGTACGATACCGTGCCACTGGACTTGAACGGCTCCATCCACAATGCCTCCCGGAACTACTCATCTTCAAGCAGGAACATGAGGAGCTACCACCGTCACACCTGCTCTTGCTCAGATGCGGCGTGGCCATGGAGCACAGCAAGCAGACGGGTTCGCGCAGGTCAAGGTCAAGACCCCGGCCTTTTATCATTAGTGTTCTATAGACTGCCAGTCAAAAACACATCTTTTGGGAGTCAGAGGTGACCAGGGTTTTATATTATAAAGGTACACAAACATTTAAGTACACTGATAAAAGCAGGACGTTGCAGGAGAAAATACTAACGTATCTTGAGTAAAGACTTTGCACGCATCTGACAGAGGAGTTACAATGATCAGAATTAACACCGCTGTAAAATTGAATTTAAACACTTAAACATATTTTCATCATTAACTCATTAAAATATATTAAGAAATACATGTACATAGTTTTAACACTCATTATTTTTAGGCATTTGGCCAGATGTTCCAGAAAAGATAATCAAAACAATAGAACACATCAGTCATTTCAAAAGGCAAAACCACAAATCATAGACCAGAATGCTAATTTTGAACAAAACACTTGGCTTGCTAAAAAATAAACTCACGGTTGCACTATTTACTACAAATCTTAAGTAACATTTAGTGACATTCTTTAGGGGCCTTACGATGATTTGCGTACTCTTCTAAGAGATTTGCACATATGACCTTGTTCAATTCCCAAAACGACTCTATGAGGTAAAGAGATTAACACCCTTAATTTACAGATGAAAAACTGAAGCACAGAGGGCAGGTAATTTGTTCAAGGTCATACAACTAGTAAATTGTAGAGTTATTTAATTATCTCTCGAAACCTTACACAGTTTATTGAAGAATGTTAACATTTATACAGGTGTACCAAGGGAAATACCTTCCAAACTTACAGACGGCACCCGGGTGGCTCAGCTGGTCAAGAGACTGTCTTAGGCTCAGGTCATGATTGAGTCCTGGGCTCTGTGCTCAGGGGGAGTCTGCTTCTCCCTCTCCTCGGCCCCTCCCCGCTGCTCATGCTCTCTCTCTCTTGCACGCACGCACACAAGCACTCTTTCTCAAATAAATAAAAAAAACCCTAAAGAAAAAAAAGCCTATACACATCTATTCATATCGACCATGTTTTAAAAGCATCCATTTTGTGTGTGTTGGGTCTTGCTCCAAATCTACTCAAAGATCCACTTGTTAGTAGTTTATCTTACTTAAACCAAATCTTATGTAAGAAAAAACGCTGGCTAAAAACAACAGTGGAAAAGACATAGTAATTATTTCTTTTATAAAACTGCCATATTGCAATATAATTCGGATGAAGTGCCTTTAAGTAGCAAGCTACCAAATGTTACATGGTATGCATACAGCAACGGTGAAGCTTTCGTTTTGGTAGCTGGTTTATGTGAACCCACATATTGCTAAAATTGTATAAGATCACATAAAAACTGAATTACCGGGCAGCTTGGGTGGCTCAGCGGTTTAGCGCCTGCCTTCAGCCTGGGGAGTGATCCTGGAGACCGGGATCAAGTCTCACGTCAGGCTCCCTGCATGGAGCCTGCTTCTCCCTCTGCCTCTCTCTCTTTCTCTAATAAATAAATAAAATCTTAAAAAAAAAAAAAAAACCTGAATTACCTAAGCACTTGAAAAGCAACATATATATTATATTACCCAAGGAGATGGGCACAGCCATACATGAAAAGTTGGACAAGGCATGAGATTTTAGGGTCCTTGCACTTGAAATCAAAGCAGGTAACAGATACGATTTCTCAGGACATGAAGACATAAAGAGACTTTTTCTTTGAACATTCCCAATAGTGAAAAAGATCAAGTCTGTGCCATAAAGTGAAAATTAGTAATTAAGTTCTTATTTGTATTTATCTGGTTAATTCTGATAGTTTTGAGGTATTTTTTATTTCCTTAAATCGAGTATGTAAGAAAATGGATTTGGCTTTTGTCAGTACAATGGCTCCTCCTCCTTTTTGTTTTTGTTTTTTTTTTTTAAAGATTTTATTTATTTATTCATGAGAGATACAAAGACAGGGGCAGAGACACAGGCAGAGGGAGAAGTAGGTTCCTTGCCAGGAGCCCGATGTGGGACTCGATCCTGGGACCCTGGGGTCACGCCCTGAGCAGAAGGTAGCCATTCAACCACTGGGCCACCCAGGGGCCCCATAATAGCTCCTTATCTTCCCAAGGTTTCAAGTTACCCACAGTCAACCCGGGTCAACTGCAGTCTGGAAGCAGATGATCCTCCTCTGACCTACACCGTCAGAAGGTCAGTAGCAGCCTAACACCAGGTCACAGCGCCTACGTCCTTCCTCTCACTTCATCTCATCGCGTAGGCATTTTACCATCTCACATCATCACAAGAACGGTGCGTACAGTACCATCAGATATTTTGAGAGAGAGAGACCACGTTCACATAAATTTTATTACAGTATATTGTTACAGTCGTTCCATTTTATTATTATTGTTAATCTCTTACTGAGTCTTATTTATAAATTAAAGTCTATAATGGGTATGTCCGTACAGGAAAGTATGTATGTATAGGGTCTGGGAGTAGCTGTGGTCTCAGGCATCCACTGGAAGTCCCAGAACATATGCCCTGGGGACAAGGGGGACTGCTGTATGTTCAAATGTGAAGCATTGTCTATGGAGCTTCTGCCTCAGGCACTACTCTCTGCTAGGCGAGGATGTATAATCAAGGTACGGTACCTTACTTTTAGTGATTGCTAACACACAAAGTGTGCTCAGAGGCTCATATTTGCTACCTATTCTTCCTGTTAGCACATGATTAGCTGTGGTATCTTTGGGCAGCACATACAAGTAGCATGCCCACCAACTAGAAACCATGTGTGCCTAATAACAGTCACTCTTGCATTACAGCCCCACACTACCACACAATGCTTTACCCCAGCATTTAACTCATCCATTTACATGGTCACAGGGGAAACAAAATGTAAATAATTTATCAGTGAAGAACTGTGTGTAGATGAAAACTCTGTAAAAATCAATCCTCAGTCTAAGCTAGTTTGTGAGGTCCCAGGGCTACTACACTGTTTGCATATGTTTGGTGGTTGTTGTTGTTTAAACATTTTATGTATTTATTCATGAGAGACACAGAGAGAGGCAGAGACACAGGGAGAGAGAGAAGCAGGCTCCCTGCAGGGAGCCCAATGTGGGGACTCGATCCCAGGACCCCAGAGTCATGCCCTGAGCCGAAGGCAGACGCTCAACCACTGAGCCACCCAGGCATCCCTGTCCGGTTGTTAAAAAGCAAAATTATACATTTTTTTGATCTTCAGCTCTTTCTACTTCCTGAAGACATAAGGAAACAGACGGCCTTCATCTGGAATACATACTTACATGGAAAACAGGAGTTTGAAGAGAACAAAGTGATCATGTGATTTTTAAATAGAACGAACCAAAAAAAGATGACGTATTTATAAAGAAGCTGCTTACCTTACAAACAGAAAGAACATTAATATTAATCAGTTTCTTGATGGTCTGCAAAAGAAAATATTGATAATTTTATATACATATGATCATGGAAGGAACCATATTAGATATATACGTAAGTGATCTAGCAAACCACAGAGTATTTCCCCACGTAGAGACAAATACTGGAAAATGACAGGAGTCAGGGTAGAGAGGCAGATTTTATTTTACTCTCAGTCTATAGTACTTTTCTACCAAAAGCAGCAATTCATGCTAATATGCAAAGTTTAAGGTAGATGTATTAAGGAAATTCTGGAAGCAAAAGACACTAAATCTAAAATAAATATGCTATTTTCTTTCTGCTAATATCAAAAGGAGAAATTATTGAATCTGAGATCCTCAACAATTTTTTAAAATTCACGTTATTTCTTCAATGATATGCTTTTCTAATTTTTATTAAAGAATGATGTATGCTGCAAGAATACAGCTTTCATTTTGGTAGGTTTACTTGAATCAACCATATTGCTATATATTAACATATTTATGATTTCTAAATTGATGTTTAGAATCCTGATACTTAAAAGAGAGCTATTTTGATATAATAAAAATAGAAATAAAAATAATACAGTGAGTTCTTATTGAACCTGGCACTATACTAATGAGGTTACATTTTCTCATTCAATCCTTCTAACATCCCTATGAAGTTGCCTATTTTATGGACATGGGAATGGACACTAAGCGTGGTTGGGATCATCTCCAGTAACTCAGGGATGAGTCAGATGAGCCCAAGAGCCAGAGTGTGAACCTCGGGCAGGTGGACTCCAGTGTTCACACTGTGAACCAGTATACCATACTGCCTCGCCAATATTCACATGCATTCTTTTTGTTACCATACTATACAAAGAGAGACTTACATTGTCCAAGTCAGGAACATCCAAAAAGTATTCGGGATACTCATATGACATTCCCACATTGTTCACTGAAATAAGACAAGATCGTTAGCTGGCTGACGTATATTCTATTACACAGATTTCTTGAAATAATGACATTAATAATATCAAGACTAAAAATGACACATAAAATAACTAAATACTGTCGACGGCTGGTGTGATTTTTTCCCACACTCTTGCATCCAAAAATCTATTAAGTATATAGTTCAACCGTCTTCTCCGTCATTAAACCCTTCCTGTACCTACCATCCAACCCTTGACGAAGGGACTTTTTATTCGCTTCCATTTCCCTGGCCCCCTGGAGTGGGTGTACTCTGCCTCTGCAATAGCTACTTGTACATATCGTCTATCTCCTCTCTAGACTTACATTTTCATAATGTGGGAGAAAGAGCGAAGAGCCCTGTGGTGTGAGGGACTGGAATCCAGAGCTCTACTAGAAGGGGAAAGCATGTGACTTGGGATAAGTCACATATGAGATGCATCTCGGTTTCTTCATCTCTAATGTGAGGGTTTGTTTAATCATTCAACAAATATTTGCCATACACCTGTGTTTGTTTGCCATTCGCATGCACTAGGAACTAGAAACACCAGGAAGGAAAATGCGGTTTCTGGCATCATGGAACGTACTGTATTGCAGCAAGAGAAAGGCACTGAACAAAAAGAAACAGTTATTTCATTATAAAGGACAGTGCCGCGGGAGCCTATTCCTGTGGTCTGACCTCGTCCAGGAAGTGAGAGAAGGCTTCCTTGTGGAGGCCAAGAGAGTGGGCCAGGCTACACGTCTCCAGTGAACCATCCATCCTGACCACATCATGAGCCCTCAAGGATCACGTTCTGGTCCTCCTGTACCTTCTCTCCTCAGTCACCTCACCTAAGGTTGGAACTACAACACAATCGAGAAGTCAAGAAAAAAAATTATATACAACTAGATATAGGATTAACACTCAGATATGATTTTCCCTAGCTTTGGAAAGACAAACCCCAAATAAGGAACATTTGCAGGAATCAAAAAAATACATAAAATATCTTGGAATTTATTTTAACTAGTGTTGAACTGGATAATCTTCTCTATCTACATTTACTCACTATAACAATCCTATTAGGTAGTTCCTATTATAATCTCCCTTCTACATAGTAGGAAACCAAAGTTCACAGCAGTTAAATAACTTGCCAAAGGTCACAGAGCAAAGAAAGGCTGGGACTCCGACTCTGGAGATGTGACTTCGGGGGCTCGGCTCTTTACCACCACCATTAAAACCACAATATGCCTTCATCCAGTATTCAGTTTTGGGGGAAAAATCAGTAATAATTGGATAATAAACAGAAATCTGGTAGCAATTTTTAGTAAAACTAAAGAATTAGAAAAGAAAGGTTTCAGTTGCAAAAAAAGATGATGAAATTATCAGACTGCTAAAACTTAGAAGGAATTGTGCCAAATAAACTTGACAGTAGTAACAGTTACTTTTTCAATAGACTATCAAAATTAGTAGTTTGAAATAAATCAATAAGGGTTATATTTAGCAGTAAGCCAGTCACTTGAGGCCGTGAGTCTCAAGATGTTACTCGCACAATTTGGTCATGACGGATTGAACAACATCACTGAAACTTATCTGAAAATCTGAAAACAAAGGACAGTGGCAAAGCAAACTGTACTTAATTATGATTCATGACCCTTTGAACAGGGACTATATCTAAACCTAATTGATAACTGTAGGCCCAAACCCATTTTTAATTTATTCAACAGGTTCTCTGCCCAACAGAGGCTCAAGGAATGGAGTCTATAAAAGACCTTTCAACAATTGAGGCTAAACATGAGGCAGTATGTTCCCTTGCCTTTGCCTCACCCACCAACAGAATTATGAAGGACTAGCTCACAGCCTGACCAAGAGAAAGAACAACAACTAACGCATCTGCTAAAATGCTACAAATAAACAAAATCTTTGTTACAAAGTCACTTTAAAATAACAGAATCCTCAAAGAAAGGTTTTGCCAAATTGTAATGTTCTTCGGATGGAAGAAAAATTCCAACACATATAGCCAACCCCATCTGCCCTCCCTCTCCTGGATCTAGAAAATTTTCTGCCTTCAGATTTCTTTCTAGCCAATGGAAATATTAGTGCTCTATTTCAAAATGCCGAAGAAAACTGAAGAGTATAATTATAAATCTTTTAAAATCTGGATTTGGGCTGAGGATTTTTTTGTTTGTTTTTTAAATCTGGGAACTCTAGAGACAACACACTTGACTTTGTAATCTTAACATGTACTCCAAGTACAAAGTTGGGGTAAGGAAGCCCACTAAAAACTAAGCAAAGCAGGGAAATGACACTCTGATGAAGGTGGCACTAACAGTAGACAATCTTCAGATCTGTTTCTTTCTTTTTTTAAAAATTTTATTTATTTATTCATGACAGACACGGAGACAGAGACACAGGCAGAGAAGCAGGCTCCCCGAGGGGAGCTTGATTCGGGACTCGATCCGGGGACCCCGGGGTCACACCCCCGGCCAAAGGCAGATGCTCAACCACTGAGCCACCAGGAGCCCCTTCAGATCCGTTTCTAACCAAGCAAAGGAGAGCTGTCAAAACTACCTACTTGCGGGGGCAGCCCCGGTGGCTCAGCGGCTTAGCACCGCCTTCAGCCCAGGGCCTGATCCTGGAGACCGGGGATCGAGTCCCATATCGGGCTCTCTGCATGGGGCCCATGGGGCCTGCATGGGGCTTCTCCCTCTGCCTGTGTCTCTGAGTGTCTCTCGCCTCTCTCTCTGTCTTTCATGAATAAATAAAATCCTTAAAAAAATAAAAAAAAACTACCTACTTGCACAGTGAAATGAGGACATCTATTTAACATAGTTCTAAAGGAAAACAGGTTCAACACTGAGAACTTCAGCTCAAAGAAATGAAGAGAATCACATAGAAGGGCCATGTTGTTATAACAAAACAACACACAGAATTTAAAAAAATGTTAAAGCTAGAATAGATCTTTCAAAGCATGAAGCCCAGTTTGAAGAGGGAGAGGTACATGCCAAGGTCACACTGACAGTTTGTCAATGCTTGGGCTTAGGACTCTTAAATCCCTTTCTGTTTTGTCAGCTGCACATTTTGTTTGCGAGACAGACACCACCCAGAATCTCTCCACGCTTGGTCATCACTTCAGAGTGCAGAGAAAAACAACTGTTGCTCCTAAACAGCTATTTCCATAAATTGTACACTAGTGCAGATCTTGGAAAAAGGCAATCCCATTGCAATTTTATTTTGAGACATGAGGTGGCAGCAATAACCAAAAGGCAGACAGAAAGCTTTCAGGGAATTGGAAAAGGAAGAAAACAGGCGTTGGGTAGGAGTGAAGGAAGGAAATATTTCCATTATAATGTAATCTCATTAAGAATGGGTGCGTGCAATGCCATCTTTATATATTACAGGATTCATTATGGAATTTACCAAACCAAATAATGTCGCAAGTTGTTCCAACATTATTCAGATTATTGGAAATCCCTTCTAAACGGTAGCCATTTAAATTGGCATTAAGTATCTGTTGTCTAGTAGTGAGAGCTATTTCTTTTTCTTTTTTTAATTCTTCAAGTAAGACACCAGAGACAGATTTAAAATTTTTTATTCAGTGACCCACAAAAACCTTTCACTCATGTGAAAGACACCGAGTCTTTCTGAAAACAAAGGATGTCCATGTAATCTCAGAATTCCAACCAGGACTCCAACAATCATCAGAGGATCACGAACAGATATAAAATCTTCCCATCAGTTTCTCATTGGAGTTCTAGGATAAGAGGAGTTCAACAGAAGAGATGAAGCAAACAGAGAGCAGAGGTCGCTAGAGACCAAGAACAAGGACAAGTTAAGTGGAAAGAGAAGGGGAGATGGAGGCCAAAGGAGCAATCCTACGAGAGGGGACCCTCGCTGGGAAGAACTGTCAGCGTACTATGCTCAGCTGTGCCCTCCACGCCCCCCTGGGCCGGACTTTCTCAAAAACACCAATACCGATGAAGTACGATATTCTAAAGCCTCAAAATCCAGAGTAATTCTGAAATGTTACATAAATATCCTCTATCATACTACTGCTAAAAATCATTTCCACACCTCCTTCTTAAAAAAGAACATACACAAGATTTCGGTTTCTTCTAAATTCATTTGCTGCTGTTTTTTTTGACATTACGAGACTTTGAATCCTTTACCAAAACCAGCTGCTGTTGAGATAATGCTGTCATTAGAAAATCAGGTATTTGGTGTCTGGGTTGGGCATGAGGGAGAAGCAAACAATAAATTACTAGAAAATAAAAATCCACTTGAACAGATGCAAAGATGACAGATACAGGTAACCACACACAGAACACCTTCAACCTGCTTTTTCTAGATTAATTAGGCTTAAGAAATTAAGGTGGTATTAAAGTCCATCATTAATGGTTGGGATTCCCAAAATATGTCAGGTAATGTAAAGTATTCCCGATTTCTCACTCATCATATCAAAGTACAAATGCTTAGGTAATTTCAGTCCCATACACACCACATTTGTAGTGATACATACAAACCCAGTTCAAGCACTCAAATTCAAGTCTAGAGAAATGGAAAACCTATTACAGTTCGTTAATAAAATGGATTAGGAAAAAATGCTGCCACTTCGTTATATTTCAAAACAAACTGAATTTTTAAAATGTAGATGTCAGTAATAGTGTATATGCCAAAAGTAGGGGGAAACCTGTTGGGTCTTAAGCTTTTGAATTAACAAGGTCTGGATCTCAGGGTCCAACAGGCCAGAGTTTCAGCGCAGGGTCTCCTACCGCCAGCTCCTACAAGAGGCAAGTGATTTCACCACCATGAGCCTTGGTTTTCTCAATGTCCTTCTATATAAAATAGGGCTAATAACTTAAGAAAATGAGATGGTAAGTATCAAACTTCACGTCAAGGTCCAGAACACATCAGTGTGAGAGTAAGTGGAGGAAGAAGTATTGTTATTTTTGTGTGGTCATTTATTTAACAGGTAGTCATGGAACTGCTCTGTACCCGACACTATTCCAGGT